TAGGAGCCACACGATTATGGTGTGTACCCTTAAGGAATGTGTTCCCCGCAAGACAAAGTCTCACTAAATTGAGAGGAATTACATTCTTAATCGGAAGTTTAACTCGCACGTGGGTAGATCTCGAAGAGTTGGTCCCTGCAGCCAAAGGCTTGCCAAAATGAAGAGACACGACTCTCGATCTATTCGTTTTGAGTTAATACTGGGATAGTTTTCTCTTGTTCACGTACTTTATGCATGTATACAAAAAAATAAATTTAGTACAAAACTACAGCTCAACTAAATATATTGAATATAATAATGCTAATAGATTATAACTGGTCTATTCTCTAACGCCATCCTCGAAAATAATTGAAATTTATGTGGCTGATAGTCATATAAGTCATTCTAGTTATGGTGAGAACGGAATAAGAAATTATCTGAATTTTTTTTTCAAATTATTCAATCTAATTTATTGGCCCCGGCGCCTCCACCATGATGTCACGACCCATGGCTACAGGGTGGTGACTCGGGGGTGAACTCGCTTGGGAGGCCGAGAAATCAAAACAGTTGTTCGTTATAAAGCTACAGTTTATTGAAAGAAATTAGTTTCATTAGTGATATTAACAAACGAGATTCAATGCAAACGTAAATACATCAGACTTCGCAATGAAAAGAAACATTTAATAGTTTGACAACATAACGATTATGACAGTAGTACTTACAAAATAATCTCTAGCAGATGCAGGGGATGAACCATAGTGAAGATTAGCTGGTCAGATCCAAACTGATGCCTTGCCTTATCGGCTGTTCGATATTTATTTACAATATTTTGATATAGTCTGCGGGTATTTCATTCCGGTTGAATGAGCTGCCAACGTGAGTGAAACATTATACTTGTTTCCTTTAATCGAATGTTACACGATAAAATTAATAATGAACTTTTATTAATGAATCTTGAATCAATATAATTTTGAATAGTAGCTATATGAATATTTTTGGTTCCTATCGTGACAATATTGGCGTGCGGAGTTACCCATTAGGGACTGAATTAATATATTCGCGAAAATTTCAACATATTTTCTTCATTCCTGTTTGAAAGTATATAATGAACATCAGTTAACTCGATTAACATTCCCTTTCGTCTGCCATTTTCAAAATGGCGGCAGTGCCATATATGGAACACTAGTCCTTTAACATGTGGAAAATGGAATGAAATATTGAGACTTGTCTCCAGCTTGAAATGTATTATATTTCCATGATTCGGAAATGAATTAGGTTATTTCGTAAGAAAATGAATGAAATAGTCAATAAATAGACATACGTCGCATTTTCGACACTATGTGCGAACGAGCAGCCTGATGATTGTGTCCTAGACATCGTCGGCGTTTATTATTCGGTACATGTTCAACATGGTAATTTCTACAGTCAATGCGAATATCTGGAGTTATTTTGGAATTTGTTGAATATGTTCCTGGAGAAATGTAGCCAGGTGAAAATTGGCTAGCAAAATTCTCAACTTTACATAGCAATAATGTAGACATTTATATTCGCGTCCATCTAGTCTGTTCCTCCTATGTACTCATTGTACTTGTGTCTGTTCCTCCTATGTACTCATTGTACTTTTGTATGCAGCGAGTCCATTCCATCTTTTTCGCGTTAGAGAAGAATAAACTGAGTGTATGGTCGATGCAACAGTTACAACTGAATTGCCCATTCATTTAGCAACCACAATTGATGCATCACCGTAGAACACAAGGCGTAATCAAATTCACCAAGTTTCTTCTCTTCATTTATCACCCTCAGTTATTGGACAATGAGGAGAAATCCTATATTTTCTTACTCTGTGCCAGAACCATCATAGCGCCTTTTCATCAGAAGTTGAAGAAATTTCACAGAAGTGGATGAATTATCGAAATGAAATTTATATGACACACAAGTTTTGTCTTGGACTGACAAAGTTTGAACACATTCAGCATCCTACAAGCCTAGTGTTCCATATAAGGAACACGATGAAAAACACAAAATCTAATCGGATATGAGAAATTATTTTCATTGTTTATTACAGACAATACAATAGGTATGTTATAAGCTGTTTGAAACATCAGTTATTTATAATCACATTTGAAATATTCGAGAAATATATGTACTTACACTTCACGGCGCGAGATTTCACACGTCTACAGTAAAAACGATAGTCATCTGATAATCTGAATCGAGCTGGAGGTATTATCAAGTAGCTGAGTATGACTCAGTGGTAGATGTAGATGTTATACGAGATAAAAATATTTGCCTGGGGAAAATTCTGCTATTGGAAATATATTTGGACGCGCTCAGAGCTTGTACGTTTATGTGTTTCATATATGGAACGCTAGTATCTAATGGGTTAAGTGAAAAACCCTGTATACAAAGGTTCTCATTCTGACAAACTCAGGAAGCCTCCAGTTTTGTCTGTGACTGAAGAGCGTTGGATAGTAGATGCCATGACTACAGCAGCAAAATTTGGATATCCTTTTGAGAGGCAAGCAATCAAGGAATTCGTAAGCCATTATTCAAATGGTAAGGGTGTGAATACAGCATGTTTCAACAATAATAGACCTGGTGATGACTGGATTGACCACTTTATGAGGCGTCACCGGGAGTTATCACTCCGCAATTGTGAAAATATCAAAAGAGTGAAAGCTGAAATCACAGAAGATGTGATCAGAGAATATTTTGAGCACCTGAATGAGACAATCCAGGGGGTTCCACCTGAAAATATAGTCAACATGGATGAAACAAACCTAACAGATGATCTTGGTGAGAAACTTGTTTTCATTTCTCGTGGAGAAAAGCATGCACGAAGGATAATGGATTTTTCCAAAATGTCAACGTCTGTTATGTTCGCCGCTGCTGGAGATGGCACTTGTTTACCTCCATACGTTGTGTACAAGAGTATAAGGGTGGATTTATAAAAAACTTTAGGACATAAGATTTTACATTTAGCACTTAAGATTTAAGACATACTAAGTGGATTCTGTTATAAAAAAAACAAGATTCTAGGAAAATAAATGTCTCATGTCATTACTGACATCTGATAGAACAAAATTTTCAGAGGTAAGGAAAGAAAAACTGTGGATATAAATAAAGGCGGGTTTAGCCAGCTCATAATGCATAATGGATAACTCGTAGTGTGTAATGCATAATACATAATTCATAATTCATAGTGCACAACAGAAAGAAGTGTTTATACAATGCATAATTTTCATGTTGATACGTGACAGAAGTGACAGATTCGACAGGTGACATTTGACAATTTTTTTCATTTGAAGAGTGTTTAACCTCACATTTTTGTGTTGCATCTGTTTTTCCTGTTTTTTAATTTTTTATCAATTATCTACCTACCATGAAGGTAAAAAGAGACAAATTGCAAGTGATAAAAGTTGCAAATCTTGCTTTTTTATTTATGACTGTTGCTGCAACTTCAGTCGCCATAGCTATGAATCAACAGAAAAGGTATAGGCGCTGGGGTGTTAGGCCTATTAATAAGAAAAAAAAAAAAAGGACTTTTTGATACGCTATTCAAAGATATGTGGAAATTAGACAAAGAACAGTTCTTCAAATATACAAGAATGACTCAGGATCAATTCAGGGAACTTTTGGAATTGGTTGCCAAGGATATTCAAAAAGACAAGAAACGAAAGCATATCTCTCCTAAAGAACGTCTACTAATTTGGATACTAAGTTGGAAAGGCCACTGTTCATACCATTATTAAAGAAACTTGCCAAGTTCTATGGAAAAGGCTTCAACCAATTGTTTTACCCAACCCAACAAAAGATAACTTAAAAGCTATACAAACTGGATTTTTGAATAGATGGAACCTTCCAAATTGCATCGGCGCTGTGGACGGAAACATGTTAATATTATGGCACCAAAGAAATCTGGCAGTGTTTTTTTTATTACAAAAAAAAATTACAGCATAGTTCTTATGGCAACTTGTGATGCTTATTATCGATTTTCTATGGTGGACATAGGTGGGGCAGGGGCCCATCATGATTCAGCTGTTTTTAGAGCAAGTGGTTTGGGTCAAGGCCTTCTGAAGGGAACCCTAGAAATTCCAGAACCAAAATCATTGCCAAAAACCAATATCAAATTACCCCATTTTCTTGTAGCAGATGCAGCCTTTCCACTGCATGAAAATATTCTGCGACCCTACCCTGGCACCTCCTTGAGTGAAAAACAAAATATTTTCAATTACAGGTAAGCAAGAAATAATCTTCGAAGTATGGGTATAATGTATTTTCATTATAGCCTAAGTCGAGGCAGAAGATGCATTGAAAATACATTTGGCATCTTGAGCCAAAGATGGCGCATCCTTAGAAAACCAATCTGTGCCAGTCTGGAAATTTGTGCGCTAATCACCCAGGCTACAGTGGTGCTTCACAATTATTTGCAAGTTAGTGAAGATGACTTGCCTCTCAATGATAGAAAGTACTGCCCAACAGGATTTGCAGATTATCTTGATGTAAATGGAATTATTCATGATGGTTCATGGAGAATGGAAGCAGCACATTTAAAATCTGTTAATAGATTGGCTTCAAACAATTATTCTAAAAATGCAAAAACTTATAGAGATGTTTTGGCAGATTTTTTTGTATCTAGAGAGGGCTGGGTGCCTTGGCAAGAAGATTATGTTAATAGGGGGGGACACCCACAAAATTTCGAATAAATGTACTGACTTTACTTACAATAACAATAAATATTTTCAATGAAACTACATTGTTACGTTTTTTCATTATTTAACCATCAAGAGCAATTTTGACTCGAGTATCAATTTTTTTTGTCATTATCAATTTTAGACAAATTTTCCGCAAGACTCAATGCAAAATAATAATCGTCATTCTTAATAGTTTTCCGCGTATCATCCGAGCTCTGCCTCAAAAATTGATTGTGGCTTTCTCCCACCTCCGAACAACTCTTCACCAGGTTGTCAACAGAAGATGTCCCAGCTAGTACTTTCCTCTTCTTGGCTGGTTGCAGTTGTCTACAATTCTTCATACTCGGAGTAGCTGCGGACCCTGACAGTGATGACATGTCTGTGTCTCTGCTGTGTTTCCTCTTCCTCCTCTTGGCTGGATTGTGAGTGTTGAATCAATGTTTCATCCAATAATCCTTCCACCTGGCTGTCTTCAAAGTTTTCAGTCTCAGTCTCCTCTATGATTATATTAGTATTCCAGACTTGTGACGGTTTGTGGCCTGAGTTCTTGGATACATTTCCACTAGTTCTGAAACAAAAATTGGTTTACAATTTTATACCTGCATAATAACATTGAAGCCCATTACCTTCTACTTTGAACAACATTAGCTAGGAAACCCATTGTTTTAAACAACGTCCAATGTCCGGTATAGGCTGCAGAGCCTGATGGCCTGGTGACAATCAGTTTCCTCTCTCTAATGTATTTGGCCCTCAAACTTTTCCAAGTTCCTTTGCAGTTTTCAACAAAAAATATATACCTATATTAGGCAATACTTTTAATAATTAGGTAGAAGGTACTTACCACTTGCTTGCATGATATTTCCAATTGATTTCCTTGCATTTTCCACCACCAGAATGTTCCTGTGGTCTTTATTCTTGGTGTCCCAAATGCATGAAAATGCTTCCACCGTTTCGATGAGAGTTGCTTCATCTAAATTCATCTTGAATTTGATTTTTCCGAACAAACAACAAACACTAACCAAAAAAATTTCAAATTTTCACAACACAATGGTGAAACCAAGCACAAATCACAATAAATAAACAAGTAAACACATGAAAAAGAAGGGTGTGGTTTCTACTCCCACTCTTCGCTGCAAAGTGACAAGTTGACATTTTTGACAGACGCATGCGCAGAAGTGCGCAGAAGCGTAATTTGCATAGTGGATAATGCATAAAAGATAAAAGTTGGTTAACTTTGTGAATTGTGCATTATGCATTAAATTACGAGTTGAGCACTATGAGTTGTATAAACGGGTACATATGAAACTTCGATTTTGAAATTATGCATTACACACTATGAGTTATGCATTATGAGATGGCTTAACCCGCCTTGAATCATACTCCAAATCAAAGTTTCGATTTTTTGATTTGTTCATTTGCTTTGATTTTTATTTCATTTAATCATTTCATCATGGACGACGGTCTTTTGATCGACCAAGTCGAGGATAAGTTCAAGCAACTGTACGACAAACAAAATAGTTCGTTCAAGAATAAACTCACCAGGGAAAATGCCTGAGAAAGTATAGGTCATATTTTGGAAACACATGGTATGATTATTCATATAATTTTTCCGTACAACGTTTTCGCATTATTATCATGTTATGTTTATAGCAGAGCAGTGTGAGCAGAGGTGAAATGTGCTAAGAAACAAGTATGCAGCTTTGAATAGGCAAGTGAAACAGACTCCCTCTGGTTCACAATCATTCACAATATCTTGGCCATACTTTGATTGTATGAAATTTCTGGATCCATATATTCACTCAAGAGTTAGAAGGTATGTATAATTATGGAATTGTCTTTAGTGTAAGTAATTCCTAATTTTTTATTTGAGAATATCATCAATCAAACACAATACTAGTTCTCAAAGTTATCACCCTCAAAGTGCCAGTGGCCAGGCATGTATAACATACTAAGCCAAGAAAGCAAACCAGATGATTTGTATAGTTCCCAAATCGAAATCGAAGAGGAGTTAGAAAACATAACTCCAGAGATAACTACTAATGCAAATACACAAACCAAAAGAAAAAATTAGAAAAATGAAGAGAAACCTTCAAAGAAAAAGAATACATCAGATGCTGTTGCTGAATCCATGTCACTGGCATTCACATTATCATCAGATTCTTTGAACTCATATGTATGCAATTAAAATGGACCACATAATGATGTAGATTCCTCTGATAGAGCTTTTGCAGATAGCATAGCAGCAGACCTTTCAAGAGTATGAAATTTCGCTGATAAAATGTATATAAAGCAACAAATATATATTTCAGAAAAGTGGAAAGAGAGGAAGTCTGATTATTAACAATTTATTAATTTCTCTACGTACCTTCATATGTTAATTTTGTGATACCCATGTGTTTCTGTTTCATTCTTCATTTTGAACTGGTTTCAATGTGTTATTTTTTTATTCCTTGTTGTTATGTTTTCATTTTATATGTTGTTAGGGGCAAGGATTTGATAAGCAGGGTTCATGCAAAAGATAAAGTACTTGCCACTTACCCTCCCAGCTGCTCAGTTAGGGTGTGGGTACGGTTCAGGTATTTCTGAATTATATGAATAACAGTATATAATGAAAGGGGTAAATTTACCGGTGCGGCACTGATTTTCCGCTAGCCAAAATCAGAAACCACCCTGATGAAAGGGATGAACCACTGCTATCGGTAGAGTCAATACTTCACAAATATCTGGTAAAATTTACAAGTACCCTGGGGTTGATTAATGACGAAATAATAGTCATACACCTTGAAAACTATCTATTCAAATCATATGATAACACCATATTGTTATTTCAGATTTGCAGTGGTTTTCAGTTGAGTAAAACCCAGTTTTTAGATAACTCCGTTTAATAAAGTAATAAAATACCAAGTAGCGTTGCTTCAATTAACATAACTTTATCTTGTCTCTTTTCCCGCCTAGTATACAACATTTCATAATTGACTTATGACAGTGATGATTTATGACAGTGATGACATATGGCAGTGATGCCAACATTATAATAAGTATCCAAATAGAATTAAAGCTAAGTTCACACTTCAACACGCCCCCTTAATTCTGCGAACGAAAACTCAATATTCAACTAAATTTAGTTCTTTACAAAACAAACTAAATTTATTAATTGATAATGCTTTGGTCAATATGTCAGCTAATAGTTCTTCAGATGGTATATACTCAATATTCAAAAACTTATTATTAACTGAGTCTTTCAAAAAATGATGTTTAACATCTATGTGTTTTGACCTCTTCGTTCCATATGATTTTGCCATCTTTATACAAGACTGATTGTCATCGAATATTTTTACTGGTTTAGTAACATCAGCTGATACATTTTCCGAAAGTTGATATATAAATATACATTCTGAAACACAACTAGATAAAGCGACATATTCTGCCTCACAGCTAGAAAGTGATACAGTGGGTTGTTTTTTAGAACACAAAAATATAATATTTTTATTCATTTTAAGTAAAAATCCACTTTTACTTTTTCGATTATTTTGGTCACCAGCAAAGTCTGAGTCAACCTATGCATAAAGATCAAATTTTAAATTTCCTGACTTGGTAAATACTAATGAAAAATTTTCAGTATATTTCAAATATTTCAAGACATTCTTTAAATGGTCCCAATGTGTCTTAGAGTAGCAGTTTTGAAATCTACTAAAGTAACTGACTGAATAACATAAATCTGGCCTAGAGCCGAGCATCAGATACATTAAACTACCAATAAGTTCTTTATATGGAACTTCATAATCACACCTATCAATCTTTTCAAGATTCAATTTTGGTTGAATAGGTAACTTATTTGGATTACATTCAGTCATTTGAAAGCGGTTTAACACTTTGGAAATCAACACTTTTTGAGAAACTTTAATTTCAAAATCACATTGTTCGATTTCTAGACCTAAAAATGTTAAATTTTTACCACTAAGATCTCTGATTTCGATTTTTGAACTCAAATACATCTTGATATTTTTCACCTCAGTTGGGGAATTTGACAGAATTGAAGAATCAGCAATTATTAAAAATGTACATTTAGAAGAAAATAAGCATGGATCTACTTCTGATCTTTCAAGTTCTAGATTCATTAATAAATCTTTAATACAATCATACCAGCATTTTGGACTTTGCTTCAATCCATGCTTCATTAAGTTGACAGACTTGTCCAGAAAAGTGATTTTTTAAACCATCTGGGGGTTTCATATATACTACTTCATTTAGGGTGCTATTTAAAAATGCAGATTTTACATCAATCTGATGAATTTCTAAATTCATTTCAATTGCTATAGCTAATAACACTCTAAGAGTCACTAACCTTGCTACAGGTGCATATAAAATTTCATCGCCTAAAGTTGGCTGTTGGCTACCAATCTTGCTCTCTTCTTCAGCACTCCATTGGTAATTTTTTCTGTGGAAATCCATCTTGAATCAATCAATTTCACATCAGGTGGTGGTTTAACTAATTCCCAGGTTTTATCTCCTTCTAATGCTGAAATCTCTCCTTTTATGGCATCATCCCATCCTTTTTCAATTGCATCATTATAGTTTTTGGGTATTTCATGGGGTAAGTGACCAATTCCCCTTGCATCACTATTTGTTGTCCATTTTCCACAAACACTTTTCCTTTCGAGAATACTACTCTACAGTTTTTTTTCTTCAATGCTTTTGACTGATATCAGGTTTGTAGCCAAGTCCTTGCATTCCAAAACATTTTTCAAAGTCACCTTTTTTCTGTCTTTTGTGATTAATGGTAAATCACCTTGTCTGTTTGCTGAAACTGTTTCACCACGTTTAGCAATGTTTATCTTGAGGTTCACATATTTCACATTCACTAGAAATTGTCCTGTATTTTCATTTACAAGATGGTTCATTGCACCACTATCAATAATGAAGTTTATTGAATCAGAAGTATCAATTTCTCTCTTTGTTGACAAGAATGTAACCTCTTCACTGTTTACATTCGTCAGGAATGAAAATTCCTCATCTTCTTTTTCTTGTCCCACAGTTAGGTTGGCCTTTTTCAGATCATTTTTCAAACACTCATTCTTCTTATGGCTCCGTTCACCACAGCCATAACATCTACTTTTGAATACTCTTGGTCTTGACATCGTAGGTTTTCTTGAGTGACCCAAAAAGGCATTAGATGTCTCCTCACCATTATCTTTATTTTTGTTTTGACGTTGTTCTTTCATAAGGAGCTTGTTCTTCACAAAATCCAATGTGATACTAGCCGAATTTTGACTGGAGAGTACATCAATTGCAGTAACAACTGGCTGGTATTAGTCAGGCATTCCACACAGAAGTTGTGTAATGACTTCACTTTCGTCAAGCTTGCCTCCAGCTCTTCTCAGATCTGTAACTGTCTTCTCGAATACGATCAGATATTGATTGAGTGTTTCCTTGCCTGTAAACTGTGAACTTCGCAGCTTCTTCTGCAGTTGTATCTGGGTGGCCATGCCAGTCTTCTCATATGTGGACTTCAGGGTCTCCATCATATCCTTGGCACTTTTCTTGTCCCCAACCATTTTCAAGACGTTATCAGCAAGGCACTGAACAATTAGGTTTCTAGCCTTAACATCCGCCTTTTTGAAGGTTGTCAGTTCGGTAGCATCAGTTGGAGGGCTTCTCTCCAAGACATCCAAGACTTCTCTCTGCTCCAAAATAAGCTTCACCCGATATTCCCAGGTAGAAAAACCTGTACCATCAAAGAGCCTGACATTTAAAATAGATTTTTCAGTCGTCGCCTCCATGCTCCCAACACTACTACACTTTACTGTACGACTACACCTAAAACTGATTCACTCTAGCACAACCAAAGTATCTGGGCCCATAACCTATTGTTATTTCAGATTTGCAGTGGTTTTCAGTTGAGTAAAACCCAGTTTTTAGATAACTCCGTTTAATAAAGTAATGAAACACCAAGTAGCGTTGCTTCAATCAACATAACCTTATCTTGTCTCTTTTCCCGCCTAGTATACAACATTTTATAGTTGACTTATGACAGTGATGACATATGGCAGTGATGCCAACATTATAATAAGTATCCAAATAGAATTAAAGCTAAGTTCACACTTCAACACACCATATATAAATTTATGTAAGTGAATTGGCATTCAAGAGAGCATTCAGATTTCAGATATATAGTTTTGTATATTGAATTGATGTAAATATAGGAAAGGTCCTAAGAAGGGCTATTCATGTGAC